TTTTTTTCTTTTTCGATCTTTGCCCGCGACCGAAAAGTTACCCCTCCCTGATCTAATATGTACAGTGAGAAGTTTAAATGGTCATTGAAATTAGGTACTATACTTACCTAGATAAAGATCTTTCATCTGCTTTAACATTATTAATTCGATGATTCAAGATCTGGCAAATTGAAAAATCCTCTAAAGAAAGTTATTACTCATTGTTTGAATTTTCCACAAGACCTACTTTATTACAGCAGGATTTCTGCAAAATTTAAGGATTTTAGTAATTTTACACCATTAAAAAAATCACTATTTTCTGTAATTTCTATGGAATTTCGAAAGGCTTTTATTTGCTGACATTTTGAACAATCCATTTTCGAATTTAACCACGTTACATAACAGCAAACTAGCTCACCGACGACCGAGCGGTACCGGTGAGGACTGCTACCATTGAACACTGGTAGTTCGAAGGCTCGAATAGCAACGAAGGCTGATTGAATGGATTATTTCGTGATTCTAGCATGGTAAAGCCAGTTTCACTTAAAAAGTCCTTAACTAAGGTTTGGTTTGGTTTACGTAATTACGGCAAGCTTCGAGAGTTCTCTCCAAGGGAAGCGATGCTCGTGGAGGACTTTCAAAGCGAAACTGGCTCGTGTACAAGTACACTTGGGAAACCATGAAACGCTCGTGAGCCGCTTTGTTCGTGGGATTCGAACTCGGACCGAGCTACCAGTGTTCAGTGACTTTACGCTCTGCCGTTCGTAGCGGTTCTCAAGAAGACATCTTTCCATTTACGCAATCCTCTTGTGTCTTTGCTATATTAAAAAATAAACAAATCAACCATGATAACAGATATCAAAAAAGGTGACGTAACTATTGAGTGACGTAAATTATTAATTGTGCTATCAGCTTAAATCAGATCTTGATCGCTTATGATGGTTCTGTTAGTACTGACAAAGCTTGTTTTTGAAATAATTACATAATCGTCATTATGTGACAAGTTCTTTGAAGTGTAGTGAATTCGTCGGCTGCGAATATTCGCAAATTTGCGTTTATTCTTAGAATTTCCATTAATTTTTATCCTTTAATTTCCATCAAATTATGCCATCCTTTCCGCAATGAGATAACTTGTACATGTGATGCAACGAAATATGAAATATTCAACAAGAAGTGCCATATTATAGAATTATTGAAGAGGCAAAATTAACGTATATCACACTATCCCTAATATCTGGAACTTTTAAAAGCGTTCAGTTCTTTCAACGTATCAGGTGAATGCGACCAATATATGATGAGATTATTCGGAAATATATAATTTGAGGCCTCCAGTTCTATGATTAAGTTCTATAAATTACCCGAAATAAATATCAGTTAGCATTCAAGTTTTATGTAGAATGATTTCAACTTGGTAACTAGTTTTAAAGGTAACCTTAACGTTTCATAAAAAATACCGAATATTTTTCGACGTTCTCTCATACCCTCAGATAATTTTTATTAATGGTATTAGTAAAATTTATTATTTGAATTATATTTAGACAACATGGCTTGAGAAATTTTTCGTTCAATGAGTGACTCGTTAGCTGAGGACCTAGGAGTAAACATTTCCACTGATTCTGCAAATGGCTATTGAAAGCATTCATGTTTCGTCCTAAATTGCTTGGGGGAGGGAAAATAGAGGGTACATTAGTGAACCTGTTCGCTGCAGACGCAAAGCTGGAGACGATCGACAACAATGGCGTGAAAAGTTCGCCAAGTTTCTGCTTGGCGAAAGACGCAATTACGTTTTAGGTTTGCTAGTTTTAGACAAATTGATGTCATGCATATATTTTTCTGCGAATGACCTTTTAATGAATGAATTGAATGATGTGAATTTACTTCGTCCCTGAATAAAAAATTATTTTTTAATGCAGAAAAAATCAAATGTTCCCCAAAATAGAAATTGACATCAGTCCGTATGGAGTAGTGGTCCTCTTTTTCATTTGATACTAATCGAAAAAACGTAAAAAACAAAGTGAATTCGGCAAATATTTATTAATAATAGGATAAAGCATGCCCTTTTTTTATTGTAGCAGAATTTTGAAGATGTATTATGTAACAGCAGACTTTTTCACTTCACTGAGCTTTTTTCATGTGATATTGTGTTTCTAAATTTGCTAATGTTAAAAGAATAGGAAGACATTTGTCAACATCCCCCTTAAGGAACGAAGATACAGCTGAAGCAAAAGCATTAAATGTATTGTATTTAACATGTTTCGATATTATTAAGTTTTTTGTCACATCTGGAAAAACAACATGAAATGTGACATTTTTTTAACATATTATGAATTACATAAAAAAAAAGGAAATACTTACGAGTGAACAGTATCCCAGAAATATTTTTCAAAAATCTATTTGTGCATTCCATATGCAATATAAGCAGAATGCTTCAAAAGAAAAGGTAAAAAAAAAAAAAAAAAAAATGTTACAATTACAGCTTTCTTGCACCAGTCACAGTGATAACAGTAACATGGCCGCCAAGCTTCACCGTTTGAGTTGAACCTTCCCTCCTTCTATTCTAACCTCCTTGTAAGAACAGGGGTGGTGGCGATTGCGAGCCGCTTGTCCTTCCTTGGCACCTTCCGATTTTTCGCCCATCAGAGCAGAAAGACTTAGCGGGTGCAAAACAAGACATCTGTCTACTTTGTCTGTCTGTCTGTATGCCTTATTATTTACGATGGATTTTTAAAGTTACATGTGGAGTGTGCGAAATAGTATGATGCGTACAGTGTTTATGTTAGTTTATTTCCTAAATTAGTTGGATCACCTATCTTAGTACTGAATTTTTTAGTTCATAAAAAAGCATGCAGATTTTTTTAGGGGACTACTTTAATTTAATTTCTAAACCGTGAACAAAATTTTTATAGATCTCGTCAGCTAATAGCGTAAAACATGGAGTATAAATTATTTCTTACCATTTCTCGAAACTAAATATTTTTATTAAATATTTTCAGCTGTCTTAACCGAATAAAAGTTTCATAGATCACGGCGGAAGCTAATAAAATTTTTTTATCATATTTCCCGAAACTAATTTTTTATTACATATTTTCAGGTTAAATAACAGCGGCGACATTTATGATGAACAGTAAACGAATTAGTTTGATGTTGGCGACAATTTTCAAAACCGCGCAAAGGTCGAACCGTATACTAGGCATTTACCAATAATTCTTAAAAGCGATAGCCGGCGTGTAAAGTATGTTATGTGTATTTAAAGCACTCCACATCACGATTACATTAATTTTATTCCACATTATATGCATAACGTACAGTTGTGTGATATGTACGTAACAAGTGTTTCATTAACTATGATAAAATTTATGTTTCATCTGCTGATGTTAAGGTTTTGATGTATATTGTATTGTAGACGTAAAATATAATCGACTGGTGATTATAATGACAGTAGTTGAGTTTTTTCTTTATCTTTAAATATGGGTTGCACAGATAAGCTAAAATGAATTTCTCATGCTCACTTCTAGAGAATTAAGTTATTAAAAAACTACAGTTTCTTTTTGTATTTATATGCATACAGTAATTAAATCTCTACTAGATCCTTTTGAGAAATAACCTGCAAGTGATTATTTATTACATGCTTCTAAAAAAGAGAATAATTCAAACACCATCAAAGCTTAAAATTAAATTTATTTAATAATTTTTATATTTAATTTGTTTGGATTTCTATACACTGAAGAAAAAGCTCAATGATTCATTTGTGTTTATCAGAAATTTCATTGGATGCTATAAATTAGTGTTTTTAGGATGCATACAGGTTTTAATTTTTGACTGAATGTGCATTACATACTGTATATTAATTAACCTGTTTGAGATGCTCCTTTGGGAGAGATTGAAGTTGAAAGGAGTCGTTCCACAAGACAGGGATTTTGTATTGCGTAGCTTAACTTTACAGAAAAAATTGCATTAAAAAAATTAGTCCTAATGTCATAATTTTTGGTATCATTTAAAGTTATTATTTAAGTTATCTTTATGTTTAAATAAATATTTAATAGTCTTTTTCTTTTACTTAATATGAAAATATATTAAAATAATTGCTTACTTTAAGAAATAATTTTCCAAAGCACTATTCGAATTATTCCAAAGTTTTAATTGACAAAATAAGTTAACAAAGTGTTCATCTCATCAAACTGTTCTTTCGTTCTAGGTTTTTTGTTGTTGTTTTTAACAGTGTTTTTCATTACTTGGGCTCATTACATTTCACGCGTGAGTTTTATTAGAAGAGCTACTCTAAATAGAGAGATTATAAAATACTTTACTTTAAGTCAAACTCACCATCTTTATAAATGCTAGTTTAAGATGATTTCTGTATAGTTGTCTTTTTAAATATTTTATTCGTGCTTAGTGGAGAGAGGATAAAATATTATGCATAGTCTCATTACCTTTAAGAATGCTCATTTAAAGTGGTTTCTGAATTGCTTTTTTTTTTTTTAAATGTTGCATTAATACTTCATAGTTTGACCCAGTGTTCTGTGTCAAGCAAAATAGAAATGGGGAAGAAAAAACAAAGCTAATATTTCATATTGGGAGAAATCTTTATTCCAGTTTAATTTTCTGTAGTAGGTTGTACTATGTGAATGTAGAAAGGTTCAAAGAAATGTAATTCAATTACTGAAAAATTGTTTTGGTTAATTTTAGTGAAATTAAATGTAAAATTGTTGGTAACTTGGACTAATTTACTAAGAGATATTATTAATTATTTATAGTTGCTATAAAAGATGTTAGTTGCTGTGATTAGTTTTTGAAGATTTATTTATTTCTTCATTTCTAAAATAAGGTTTATGTTCTTTAATGCAAAATTTTAACACTTTCTAACTTTAGTAAATGTATTGTAAACTACTCTGACAAGGAATATTAGGTATTCCCAAGAACTAAAATCTTATCAAGAATCTTTATAGACCTTTATTCATAAGTGAGAAAACAACTTGAAAATTATACTTGTGGGAAAAAGTATTTATATTACAGTCAGTGTTCAAAAATGAGATAACAGCAAAATTGTTTTTTTATTTTTTATTTTTTATTTTTTTTTTTTTATAGGAAATTGGACTTCTACTTTCCAACCCAATTTTGAGAGAGAGAACATCTGAGGGGGTGGTCCAGGGGTCTCCTGCTGCTCTCCCCTGCCATCAAACCATACGAGAAGACTTTCAGTTTGCCGCGTATTTAGAGTGCCCCCATGCAGCAGCACAAATATTATACTTTTACAAACATTCATGTCTTTGGGATTCGAACCCAGGTCCTTTGTTACCGCAGTAGGCTCCCCAAACCACTATACCATCTGGGTGACAATGGCTTTTGATAAACAGTAGTATTGAATCAAATTTAGTATAGATAATAGTAATGTCAAGGAAAGGAAGAGAACTGTTAATGACAGAATTGATAGATGAATATAATGTTTCTTAAATCCCCTTTATTATTGGCAAATGGTGTGAAAGTACTATCAGTATAGTAAATACAGAACAGAAAACATTTGCTGCCCCCCTTTAATAATGTAACCACAAAATAGTATTAGGTTATTTGGATAAGGAAGAGCACAAAACTATTTGTCTAGAGTAGAAAGCCTATGTGGAAAACTCTAAGGGAAACTGGTTTGTATTTGTAATTACATATGAAGAAAAACATGTAAACTCTCATGCAGCCAACTCATTCTTTGGGATTTAAACCAGAATCAAATTTAGGTCAAAATCAAATCACCAGTGTTCAGTGATCTTGCTGCTTCCATAAAATAATGTGCATAAATTTCGACAAGTTCTGTTCAGAAAATGTTAATCATAACTAATCCATCAGGTTAGTAATAGGAATTCTTTTGAAAAATAAAGCAAGTCTATCTCAGAAAAAAATGATGGTAACAAAGATTAAATTTATCAGTTTCATGATGGAGTTTTAAAGTATCTTTAAGACATTTAAAGTGAACTGGAATTTTCAGCTGAACAGAGAATCAGTTTCATATCCTTACATTTATCATGTTTTCAAGGATTATTCTTCAAAATTTTTTATTAGTCTTGCAGAAGAGTAAAACCTGTTGTCACTAATAAAAATTTTTATGGCTTGTCAGTGAGAACTGAATTCATTTACATTTGGGATCAAACCCTGATGAATAGATTGGCTGCACAGTCATTTTCATAGTTTTTGCACTTGTAACAAAAAAAAAAAAAAAATTAACTAGTTTCCTTTAGAATGCCATCGATGAATGCATCAATCCCATAGGCATATAGCCTTGTATGCTGTACCTGATTTTGTTAACCTAAATTAATGTAGACTAAAAGGCCTTTACTTTTATATTGCTTGTCATTAACAGAATAATATGCTGTATTTATTAAAAGAAAAGGTTAAAATAAGTAATTTTGAAATGTAATATTCTTTAAAAAAGTAAGGTAGCAGGTTAATAACATAAAAATAATTAAAAAGGTTATTAATTGTATATGCAAACTGATGATGGTCCCAAATGCAAGAATTTATTCTGGCAGTGTGCTATATGTTATATACTTGTGTATTAATTAACTGCAGGATGACTGAATATTAAACTTGCAGAACTTTGCATCAAAACTAATCATGTTCCAGAATTATTGTGTCACTGATATGTCCGTTATCAAATACAGGTCTCATCAATATAAAATGAAATAAATGTGTATAGTGTAATAATTAGTAGGAGTTCTGAGTGGGAAAATAAATAAAAGTAAATGTAAATAAATAGCTCAAACATTAGCTATGCATGAATTCCATACTAAGCATTAAATAATTATATTAAGAGACTGGAATTGCATGATCAGTTTAAGTTAATAATCGGAAGTTTTATTTTATTCGTAATTATTGTGTTTAATGAATTCTTTGGGAAATTATGTGTGCATCTAAATAATTTTTAATAAAAACTGTTATTTACAAACTTCAACAATTAAAAAAAATATTAAATCTAATATTAGTTCCAATTCAATCTCAATATCATCATCTCACCAACTATATCTTCTTTTCAGATTATATTATTGTTTTGGAGCTTTACAACTAGACTTTCAACTTGAAGAATCTTGAATATGATTATTGGACCTTTTGTGGCTGAGATTGTAATTACATTTCTTGCTGTTGCTTATTTATTACAAAAGTACGGAAATTGCAGAAGGCATCACATTTTAGTAACTGCCAATGTTTTTATTGCCTGGTACTTTGCCTTCATTATTGTCTTCATTTTACCCTTGGATGTGTCATCTGTAAGTTACCTTTAAAGTATTTTAATAAAAATTGTAATTGCTTTTTTTTATCCAAGTCTCAAATATGTTTAAGAAGACTTTTTTTTCCCTTCTCCTAGACTGCATATAGACAGTGTTTAGCGGATAACTTTCACTCTCCTACTGCTTCTTCCTATGTTATACCAGTTACAATAGCTAATGCAAGTGAATTTGGAAATACAACATCTGCAGAGTATAATACAACTACTCCTGACTATTCTACATTTCATGGTAATATTTTAGTTAACCTTGTGAATTTGAAATATTCTCTTTTAAGCTAAAATTTTGATAATTAATTTCTATCTAGAATTTTATGCTTGTTTTTTAAGTATCACGAAATACAGTTTCTTTGAGAATGTTTTGACTTTTTCTAGCCAAACTTTTTTACTTTTATTATGTATTAAATGTTTTATAACTCTTTTCAGCAGAAGAGGTTATTTGATATTTTGCATCAAGTTTATACTCTCTTTTGCATACTGTTTAGATTGAATAGTGTCATTTATTATTTTTGTACTTTGCTTTTGATCTTAACATTTTTTTAATGAAGTTTCACCTATCGCTCATATTGCTGCTGCTTTTTGTGAGATGAATTTTAGCTTGTAACAATAGTATTTGTGTGATGGTGATTTATTTCAAAAGTACACCAGGTCACTTGCCCAACAATTTAGCTACCCGATGGGTATGTTCACTCTGTGCCACTTGTCTGATAGATACATTTGCCTGGCTACTCTGTTGCCCAATGGGTTACTTTTTTTTAAATTCACCATTAGATGGCAAATTATTATATTTCATAAAATTGACCCAAAATATATATGTTTGTGCCAGAGATAGATAAGATTATTCTGACCATCGGAGGGAACTAATTAATTGCGACACAAGACTTAAAATGCTTATTGTTAAACAAATTCATTTATTGATAAATAATTAATTTATAGAGTCCTGTACTTTTTGGGAGCTTAAAATAATGAGCTCTAAAAAGACTGTATGAGGAATTATCCTCAGATCTTAACACAACACAAAAGTCTGATGAAGGGTGTAAAGGAACCCTTATTAAATCCAATATAATTGGACAGATGGCTCCACTTGAGCTTAATAAATTCAAAACTTCTGGTTCAACTCAAACAGGTAACTAGACTAGACTAAAAATAAATGTAATTAAGTTAACCTAATGGCTCACAGGATAATTTAATGTGCAGAAAGGCTCTAACTCTTAGAAGCCGCAGAAACAAGCCTTATGTCAAGAAGCACCCAACGCCACAGAATCAAATCGCTCGGAATTCAGAGTAACAGCATGGCCTTCAAGCAGGCATAACACACTCTTAAATCACTTACAATAACCTTCATTTAAATAGCACCTCTTTCTCCCTCAATTTGAATACCCATGTGTTATCTCATTAGCATTCTGGCAAGAAAGTGTGGGTAAAAATGAGATTGAAAGGAAACTAAAAATTAACTATTAGTCAAATTAAATAAATCTCTACAAATTGTGATTAAAAACTTGATTAAAGTATAAACAACATTAATTAACTTTTGATCACTATGATAAATGTGATCACAAAATATTCTAGTTATTTCATTAGAACTAGTTAAAAAAGAATTTAAATTTGCTGCTTTGAATGCACATTAAATATCAAGCATGCAAAGAATTTTATTTAAAGATGGCACTGGATATTAATGCAATGTCTGTGATTATCGAGTGACATAATTATGCAATAAAGCATTGAGTACAACATATAATAAAGAAATAAAAATGAATCAGATATATTAAAACCATTTAAACAGTTTTAAATATTAATATAAAAACATATAGAAAGATTGTTAAAGAAATCAATAAGAAAGAAAGCTTCTTTAATATAATAATTTTTTAGAAGGAAGTTGATTTGATCTGGATAAATTGTTAACTATATTGTTATTTTCTATTATTGGTTTAATAAATCAATTTCATATTTTATCAATAGAAATGCTTTTAAATTTTACTGTGCAAGGGTACTGCTTAACCCGCTGATTGCTCAATTTGTGGACCGAAATCACTTAAAAAATTGTGTAATTTTTTTTTTTTTGCAAATTTTAAATCTATATATATTGGAGGAATAAAAAATGCATTTTTCCTTTCTAGAAAATATTTTTTTTATATAGATTTTTATCATGAGAAACTAAGTTGCGAGAAAAACCAATTTCAGATGTTATCACCAAAAAAAAATTTTTTTTAAAATAAATTTCACTCGAATTACAGTTAATTTCTATTTATTGCATAATATAAAAAAGCAAAATGTATGAAATTTAAGAAAATATAAAGCACTGAGGGAAAAATACCTTAGAAATACAGTTTAGTATGATAGAGTTCAAAACAGAGTTGAAGGCAAAGTGCAACTTCACAGTCTTTGCACCAGATTCAATAAATCTAATTATTAATCTAATTAATAATTCAATAACTTAATTAAATATTCAAGATAATTGCTGAATGTTTTCTAGCAGCCATTTCTGTAAGAAAAAAGCGGCAAAAAGTGAAGTTTGAGCGGTAGTACCACGTGCCTTCAAATGCCGCAATTTAGTGGACAACTAATGATATCTGTTGGCCAAAACGTAAACTAAACGTCTAATATTGTATGTAATTTATTCCAGTGTAACCACTGGGGATAAAATGGGATGCACTTCTCAATAAAGGAAGAAAAACGCATGCCTGCGGAAATCGCGGGAGGAGCAGATTTTTGCTACATTTGAGTTGCCCGTGGAAATTGCGGGATGAGCAGCCAGAGGGTTAATCAGTTTTTCACATATTTTAATTTTGAAAATGATCTTTCACAAACTAATTAAGATATTTGTAACATAAACTATTTATAAGCCAAATGAAGTGTCAGATAGGCCTTCTTGGTGTATATTATATTTATGGCAATATCTTATTGCCATTAGACTCCACCAGAAAGGCCTAAGAATTTCAAGAACTTCAGCTAACAGTTAAACCAACTTTATTTAGCATTTAAAGAAGGGAAAAGCACATCTTGCAAGAGATTAAATGTTTAAACATTAGTGCATACAAACTGATGCCAGACACCAGCAATAAACGGGAAAAATAAGGGTAAACGTATATTTACAGGTACCCCTTGACAATTTTTGGTAGCACATGGATGCCAAGTTTGTGCAATTCTTAGACTTCTTATTTTGGCTTTGTGTAGTGGCGATTTCAACACCAAAAATCTCTGCTACACAAAGATAAAATAACAAGTCAAAGAATTGCTCAAACTCGATATCCATGTACACATTGACGTATTTTCACTTAAAAAAAAATCACATAATTGCACAAACTAGGCATTACTCACTCCCTTGACTTTATCCATGTATACGTCGACCTATTTTCACTTAAAAGAAACATCAGAGAATTGTATAAACTTGGCATTGCACACTCCCTTGACTTTGTCTATGTACACATCGATATATTTTCACTTAAAAAGTCAAAGGTGCACCCAATTCTACAGTAGAGGCAAACAAAAAATACGTAATCTCGATAAACTGAATTTTAAACCAAATAATAAAATAACATAAAAAAGGAAAAACCTCTTATGTATCTAAGCACTACACAAAGCAAATATCCACTTACCTTATTTAGAAATGCCTTTGTCTTCAGTCTGTGGTGCACAAAATTCTTTAACAGCATCCAAAAACTTCCTAAAATTATCTGAACTTAAATCCGTATATCGGCGTCGCCACATAAATTCACAAAAATAAGAGTAAAAAATATTATCCATAGTTCCGAACAGTCCGTAAAATGGCTACTAAATAAACCTTCACTTACACACCAGTCAATTAATGCTCTTTTCCCCTTTCGTTCCAAATCGTACAGAAACTTCAAATTTAATCTTACTACATTCAGCCATTCTACCATCTAAACAACAAAACAAGCAATGTACAAACTAACACACACCACGAGCCCTTACAAAACATCCTATAATTCAAAATTTACCACAATCATGCAACCGATTGCATCATAATAGGATTTCCATAACATTTATCTGCTCAGGTTACCATAAGCGAAACAACAACTTGGCAGTAAATGAAACAACAACTTCGTGATAATACGAGTGTTACCCTTCAGTCTACTCTAACCAAAATAAGGTAAAAAATAAATGGTAAGGTCTCAGTGAAAAAGTTCAAGATTTTATCCTTGCACTACGGCAAGTACATTTGCAGTTGTGCAGCAAAGATGAATGTTGCCACTCACTGTGAAGAGGATTTTCACCCTATATTTATTATGATTGTGTGGCGACATCATGGACAATTTTTGCAGTTTTTATGCACAGTTGCTTGATTCTCTTCCTCAGTAGTTTTTGCAATTTTTTCAGTTGATCTCTCATTCTTTTCTTTTGATATACCTAGTTTCTATTACTCATGTACACTAAATTTTGATGAATTCTAACTGGAAATAAAATTGTCTAACTTGTAAGGCAGAGAATATAATTGTGGAAGAAGTCTTTCATCAACTGGCAAGGAATACGAGAAGTGCATTACTGTTGTCTTTAATGATAGGACAGACCAAATAACTATAGGTTTCTTGCTTAGTATTGCACACTATATGGCATTATAAAACCATTAAAAGTGATGAAGCCCTCAATGGAGATACCTGACGCACACACGTACAAAAATGGAAGAAGAAAAATTTTAATGCTACCCAAAATGAAATAAAATTCTGGAAGGTCCCAAGACCTTAAAGAAAGCAGAGGGGAAGGTTGTTGCTGCTCATTATTTATAAATATGTAAGAAAAATAAGGAATATGCAAAATATAAATTGTAATTTAAATTAGCAGCATAGATTAATTTACCTTCTGTATTTTAAAAACAGTAGTCTGTCTTTGCACTGTATCATTTCGAGACTAATTCATGTCATATGACTCTTATGTAATTCTGATGATGTTAGTGGAACTAAAACTCAAACAGCCTATAATATTTTTACTGCAAATATTAATTATCCAATCAAAATGCATGGAGAACCAAAATTAACTCATTCTGGATTAAGATTTCATCCTGAACATAACAGGCTTGCTACTTTTCAGCCTATCTGGACTGTTATCTGCTGCTTCCTACTTACTGCAAAGTTATCAAAAATGTAAACATTTAGAAATAGGCACAAATAATGCGCTAAGTTGTTTGTGGCAGCAATATGTTTACTAAAATAAAATAAAGATTTATTCTGCCTCGGCTTCCAGTTTCCTATTCCTTGTGTATCAGCATTTCAGCAG